CAAGTTTCTCTGGTGGATGAGGGTGGAGTAAATAACGGAATAAGGGAAAGTATTCAACGGGATGAACGGGCATTTAACGATGATGAAAAGATTATAAGGAATTATTTTTTTCTTCTAAAATCTTAAGTGTCATACTTCAGTGGAAGGCAAGGTAAGGGCAGCTGGGTTGAAGTACCCTAAGGTAGACACTAGTGACGAAAACAGCAAAGTAAAGTAAAAAAAGGAAGTAAAAAAAAAATAATTCTATGTCGGAGGCAGGGAAGGGGAAGGGAAGTTAGTATTAATGGTAAATGAAGAACTCGATATTAAACAAATACAAAGGAGGAAACAGCCACACGCAGCGGTAATGGCGGTGAGAACAACGGTTAAGTAAAAGAAAAGTAAGCACTAACCCCTCAGGGACCGCCAGACATTGTGTTCTCGGGCCTGTGTTGTTGATACATATATCGACTTGAAGAAATAATAAAAAATGCCAAGGTATATAAATTAGTAAATAGGTAAATTTGGCAGGAGTTAACCCTGGTCATCTCACCCATTTTTCGGAGGTATTTGATAGAGAGGGAACTAGCATTTGGGGCGCACCCAGGGGAGGGGTCATATTTTCCCTCCCCAACTGACAATAAATAACTTTACTTTTTTGTATAATAACATTCTGAATATCTAAATCATTATTTTATATATACTACGTTTTACATTATATGTTGATGGAAGAAATCAAACTGCTGGTTTTTACGCTGCGACTCGAAGCGTGAAAACCAGACAGCACTCAAGGACAATCATCACCCTTAGCGAAATGATTAGTCGCACAAGCCACGCCACCCCTTTTTGCGTCCCCAACCATATTGCTTCTGGAACTCATGGTTACGCTGAGCACAACATGCACGGTAGTGAATTACATTGAAATCAGAGTATGAATATATTCAGTATTTATTTTTATTATCAGTTGTATCCATCGTGAGTTGAGTTAATCACATGGCTCACGTTTATCCTATTAATGTATTGCCAAGTAAAACATGTGGTATATCTTAGCAACGGAACATAATTAGAACTCCCGTCACATCCTTATATGCGTTTGCCTTTACGCAGAATACCACTCGAACGCCAACCAGCGCATCCTCTCTGTACAAACTCATTAGAACCACTCTCACGTCGTGCGCTGCCATTGGTGG